TTAAAATGGCACTTATTCAAGATAATTTCAAGATTTATGAGAATGGAAAATGGACACTTATTGCAAAGGAAAATGGGAACATGTCGAAGGAAAAGGGGCACGTGTCAAAAATAAAAAGGGGCACTTCTTACAAAATAAAAGGGGCACTTTTGGGGTATCTGAAAAAGTGGGGGCACTGTGCCCCCCTACCCCCCCCCCCCCTGCGAGGGCCGCCTCTGGGGGGAGGGAATGGTTTGGCGAGGTGGGGATCGTAACCGCAAATCACCTCTCAGGGCCTCCGTAGGTAGAGATGTTCGTATTTCAGTTTCTTCGATTTGAGATCGTTTTTGTTTCAGTTTAACCCTTTTTATCGATCAATTCTGATAGGACTCTGACATAGATGAGGCAAGTTACAGCGCTTTCCAGGCGGAGTGCAGGCGCGGATCCAGGATTTTCCAATAGGGGGGGCCGGAAATTTGAAAATTGCGCAGACCATTTTTTCAACTCAACATACCAATACTGACAAGGTCATATTAGAAGCACGATACCGGTATAATTTTTGACATTTTCATCTGGGGGGGGGGGGGGGGGGCTATAGCCTCTTGCCCGGAAAGTAATTTTCTGGTTTCACAATTCGAAATAGTGAGCGAAGCGAGCGAGCGACAATAATTTGTGAAAGTGTTATTTATCACCAAATTAAACGAGAAAAGATATCAAGAACTCATATTCGGGCAGCTCGCTGTCCCCTCCCCCCTCCATTACGCGCGAAGCGCGGAAGCTTTGACCCTTCATTATTTGTTACTAGAGAAGGAAGACGATTTGTTGTACCATTCCCGACTCTTAATCCTTGTCTGAATTCAGTTTCCTCCCGCCCGCGCGAAGCGCGGAAGCTTTGGCCTTTCATGAATTATTAGAGAAAGAAGAAGATTTGTTATACCATTCTCGACTCTTATTACTTGACTGAATTCAGCCCCCCCCCTTCCCGCGCGAAGCACGGAAACTTAGGCTTTTCATAGTTTAATGAAATTATTTGAGAACGATGATTCGTTGTTCCATTTTCGACCCTTAATCCTTCTCTGAACTAAGTCCCCCCCCCCCCTCCCGCGCGAAGCGGGGAAGCTTTGGCGTTTCATTCAATTATAAGGAAAAGGATACGATTCTTTGTACTATTCTCGACTCTTTATCCTTGTCTGAATTCAGTTTGCCCCCGCGCGCGCGTAGCGCGTAAGCTTTGACGGTTTATTAAATTATTAGAGGAAGAAGACGAATCGTTGTACCATTCTCGTCTCTTAATTCTTGTTTGAATTCAGTTTTCCCCCACCCGCGCGAAGCGCGGAAGCTTTGACGTTTCATTAATTATTAGAGAATTTAAGAAGAAGATTTGTTGTACCATTCTCGACTCTGATTACTTGACTTAATTCAGCCCCCCCCCCGCCTTCCGCGCGAAGCACGGAAACTTTGGCTTTTCATAGTTTAATGAAATTATTTGAGAACGATGATTCGTTGTTCCATTTTCGACCCTTAATCCTTCTCTGAACTAAGTTTCCCCCCCCCCTCCCGCGCGAAGCGCGGAAGCTTTGGCGTTTCATTAAATTATAAGGGAAAGGAGACGATTCTTTGTACCGTCCTCGACTCTTTATCCTTGTCTGAATTCAGTTTTCCCCCGCCCGCGCATAGCGCGTAAGCTTTGACGGTTTATTAAATTATTAGAGGAAGAAGACGAATCGTTGTACCATTCTCGACTCTTATTACTTGACTGAATTCAGCCCCCCCCTTCCCGCGCGAAGCACGGAAACTTAGGCTTTTCATAGTTTAATGAAATTATTTGAGAACGATGATTCGTTGTTCCATTTTCGACCCTTAATCCTTCTCTGAACTAAGTCCCCCCCCCCCTCCCGCGCGAAGCGGGGAAGCTTTGGCGTTTCATTCAATTATAAGGAAAAGGATACGATTCTTTGTACTATTCTCGACTCTTTATCCTTGTCTGAATTCAGTTTGCCCCCGCGCGCGCGTAGCGCGTAAGCTTTGACGGTTTATTAAATTATTAGAGGAAGAAGACGAATCGTTGTACCATTCTCGTCTCTTAATTCTTGTTTGAATTCAGTTTTCCCCCACCCGCGCGAAGCGCGGAAGCTTTGACGTTTCATTAATTATTAGAGAATTTAAGAAGAAGATTTGTTGTACCATTCTCGACTCTGATTACTTGACTTAATTCAGCCCCCCCCCCGCCTTCCGCGCGAAGCACGGAAACTTTGGCTTTTCATAGTTTAATGAAATTATTTGAGAACGATGATTCGTTGTTCCATTTTCGACCCTTAATCCTTCTCTGAACTAAGTTCCCCCCCCCTCCCGCGCGAAGCGCGGAAGCTTTGGCGTTTCATTAAATTATAAGGGAAAGGAGACGATTCTTTGTACCGTCCTCGACTCTTTATCCTTGTCTGAATTCAGTTTTCCCCCGCCCGCGCATAGCGCGTAAGCTTTGACGGTTTATTAAATTATTAGAGGAAGAAGACGAATCGTTGTACCATTCTCGTCTCTTAATTCTTGTTTGAATTCAGTTTTCCCCCTCCCGCGCGAAGCGCGGAAGCTTTGACGTTTCATGAATTATTAGAGAAAGAAGAAGATTTGTTGTACCATTCTCGACTCTTATTACTTGACTGAATTCAGCCCCCCCCCCCGCCTCCCGCGCGAAGCACGGAAACTTTGGCCTTTCATAGTTTAATGAAATTATTAGAGAAAAATGATTCGTTGTTCCATTTTCGACTCTTAATCCTTCTCTGAATTGAGTTTCCCCCCCCCCCTTCCGCGCGAACCGCGGAAGCTTTGACGTTTCATTAAATTATTAGAGAAAGAAGACGATTCTTTGTACCGTCCTCGACTCGTTATCCTTGTCTGAATTGAGTGCCCCCCACCCTCCCGCGCGAAGCGCGGAAGCCTTGACGTTTTATTTAATTATTAGAGAAAGAAGACGATTCGTAACTCTTAATCCTTGTCTGAATTGAGTTCCGCCTCCCCCACCCCCCCCCCCCCCCTCCGCGCGAAGCGCGGAAGCTTTGTCGTTTCATTAAATTATAAGGGGAAAGGACTCGATTCTTTGTACCATTCTCGACTCTTAATCCTTGTCTGAATTCAGTTTTTCCCCGCCCGCGCGTAGCGCGTAAGCTTTGACGTTTCATTGAATTATTAGAGAAAGAAGATGATTCGTTGTTCCATTCTCGACTCTAAATCCTTGGCTGAATTCAGTTTTTCCCCGCCCGCGCGTAGCGCGTAAACTTCTGACGTTTCATTAAATTATTAGACAATGAAGACGATTCGTTTTAACATTCCTTGTCTGATTTCAGTTGCCCCCCTCCCGAGCGAAGCGCGGAAGCATTGACATTACATATAATTATTAGAGAAAGAAGACGATTCGTTGTACCGTACTCGACTTGTCAGAATTTTTTTTTTCTTTGTCTGCTCCTTTTTCGTCCTATGTCCCCTTCCTGCCCCTACCGCCCCTGGCTACGCGCCTGCTTTAAAGGGAAAATGAAACAATCATGATTGTGATAGCACACAATTAGGTTAGTAGAAATGAAAGGGAGAAAAGATCTATTACATGGATAAATCATGGATAAATCACGGCCGGGAGCGTCATATCATAGTTTTGTGTTATCGGGCGAGGGCCGGGCGTAGCAACCAAGCAAGATTTTGCAATGTTGAAATTATGCATTCTAGAAAATTCCGCTATATTCTTTCTAGCTATATTTCTAAATTTCCTGGGGGACGTGTCTCCCTTTCGGGCCCAGGATTGCCGCCCCTGTCCATGATTACTACTAACATGAGTTCAAATACAAACACGAGCGAGTTGGTATGAGCTGAATTCAAATGAAGGGCAAAATAAGAGTAATGAAGCGGCCCAACCGTTAATTTAAAATTTGACTGTTGAGTATATAGCTTCTATTTAAAAGACATCCAAAATATTGTGCCCTTTTCAAATTTCTCACTAAAGAGTGATGACCTTTGTAGCGCAGGGGGCTGTTTTTTACGTTTAACTTTGAATCCGCGGCTCGAGATTTAATGCGGCCGGCCCGGCCCCCTCTATTCAATAACGTTTGCCAAACCTTCTGGAATGACCCCAAATCTCCCGATTACAGTTCTCCCTTATTCGTCGTTACTGTCACTTAGCGCCATTTCCTTGTATTTCCCCTTTCTCACCGAATCCCCCCCCCCCCCACCCACTTACTATAGGGTACGCACATGTATGTTCCCTCTCTTTGAAAGCACCCCTCTTCAGGCGCGGATCCAGGATTTCTTAGGGGAGGGGGCCCAACTTTTTTTTGCTCCCGAAAACTTGAAAAACGCGCCGGCCAAAAATTCGCTCAGTGGGGGGGGGGGGGGGGGGTGGATGTTTTAAAGATTGCTCAAATAAGCCAGTCCGTAGATACAATCTGTGCATTGCCAGATAAAAGGAATTTCTACCTCGGTGTAGTGGTCCACCTCCACAACCACAATCAGTTATACCGGGAGGTAGACCCGAGCAGGCGCGTACGCAGGATTTTTCCAAGGGGGGGGGGGGGGTTTAACATTTATAAATCGGGCCGAAAATTTCGCAACGACTCAGCCAGCCGCTGAATAAGCGGGGGGGGGGGGGGGGGGGGGGGGTAAGAGGTCACAAAAAAAAAAAAAAAATCCAAAAGGGGAGGGGGGGGGGGTTTAGGGAAATTTAGGGGGGGGGGGGGGGTTACACACAAAAAATACCAAAGGGGTGATGATGATGATGAGAATGAAAATGGAAATATGTTGATGTAAATATGTGACAGACAAGACTTATTATAAGTATCATCATTCATCATCAACTTCAGGTGGCGCTGTAAAGCGCTGGTGTGGTCTTCACGAGAGCACGCCAAGTAACTCTTTCACCTGCCATTTGTGTTGCACCTTTCATTCCTTGTCCAGACACTTTCTTGATATCATCATGCAGTCCAAGATATAAGTATATAAGTATATAATTGATGATAGTACAAAAACATGACTCCCTGTTGATTTCTTTTCTTTAAAAAAAAAACTGTCCCTGCACGATTTTGCAAATTCATACATTTGAAACACATTCAGTAACAACAAGGCGATGAGAAGAATGCAATATTATTCCTCTACAATCTTGCAGATTTTGGCAGTGTTCCTGATTCTTATCATTAATTCGTTGGATCTTAGCGTACCGTTTGCCAACATTTGTGAAGACGAAGAAGCGTTCCTTTGCGAAAAACCTTTGGTGGACGATACAGAGACCAAAACACAAGATGGATACAACGGATATTCCTATGGTAGCATAGAAGGCCGCACTGTATGATCCTGTCTTGTCTACACTCTCTCCTGCAAAGAAGTGAAAGAATAAAGAAATTCATTGCAGAGGCGGATCATTCAGGGTTCTCTGACACGGAGGGGATGGGGTGGGAACAAATTAAGTTCTTTTTGATAAAGCCTATATAGCTGCAGTTTTATTTGTGTGTATTTGATAAAGAATAATACGCGTCACATTAATTATCTCATAACACAGAGAGCTCAGTGGATATTTTGTTGCGCGCAGTTGCCACCCGTTTACGCTTTAAAGAAAACAATTATCTGCGGCGGTTTAACGCGCCAAAAAAGAAGAAGTTCTGATTTTTTTGCAACGGCGGGGAATTATAATCATTATCATTATTATTAATATTATCATCATTATTATTGGTAGTAGTAGTAGTAATAGTAGTAGTAGTGGAAGTACAAGTAGCAGTAATACTAGCATCGTAATGATGATGATAATAATAATAATGATAATAATTATAATGATAATATCAATAATAACAATCATCATCGTCATCATTTTGTATCATTATTTAATATTACCATTATCATCAACATTATTAATACTTACCGAATACTGCTGCTACTATACCACCCACACCCATGAAGACCATGTTTGCTGCCCAGATCTGAACGCCGAACTCAGGACTGAAGAGCTGATTGCCAACTGAATGAGGAAGAGAGTCTGCAGACGCCAAGACAAAGAACCCTTGCACTGAGGATAATGAGATCAATGGTTTGAAATGAAAATCCAACAGCCTTGATTTTCTTAGAATATCTACGTCCTCTTAAGATTATTATTAACATTATAATAACATGATCTTTATGATATAATTGTAATACAGCGGCGGATCCAGGATTTTCCAAACCCCGGGGGGGGGGGGGGGCTGGAGCGAAGAGCAACACGAGCGTGTTTTGAGGTTCAGGGCAAATCCGTGTCGGGGGCTCTTGGGGCGGAGTTCTTTGACGCTTTCGAGTTTTAACAGTTCAGAACTTTCAAGATAGCCTTCTTGAGCGATAGAAACGCACACTCTCTCGTAAGGACAATTTCATCCAACAATAGGTTTCTCTGGAACCACTTCTATCTTTACGAATGGGGTTTATTTTGCAGGAGTATAAATCCCCTACCGAGGGTCCAGTTGGAAATAATTGTTGGTCCCCCCCCCCTCTCTCTCTCTTTCTCACACACAATCTTTCTCCCAAGGACAATTTGATAGAACAAAGAGTTGCCTTGGGAACCACCTCTATATTTACGGATGACTCGGCCCCCACCTGTATCCACCATCGATTCATATCTTCTTCTTTATCTTCGTTTTCTACATCTCTCTCCTTCTCTTTTACCTTCCTTTTCTCTTTCTTTTCTCCTTTTCTTTAGTCGTTATCTCTTAATCCCTTTTCCCTATTTGCTTTGGCCGCCAGGCGGGGGGGGGGGGGCAATACGACCCCCTCTGGATCCGCCACTGCAACGTTCACACTTTTGAAGGTTACATGTGGTGTTTCGGAAGGTTCGCTAGTTCGAAGCTCGGGCGTTATTCCGAAGGTTCATAAATCTGAAGGACTGATCCACATTTCTGAAAATGAAACAGAGTTCATAATAATTCCGAACATGAAATAGGGTTTTAAATTTCAAAAATGAAAAATGCTTCGGAATTATGAATCTTCGGATAAATGAAACTTCGGAATAACGCAACAAATCGTCCTTGTTTTCACGAAGTGACGGTAGTGAGGAAAATCGTAACGCAAAGTGAATGCAATTTTTTTTCACTACCGTCACTTCGTGAAAACAGCGACGAAATGTTCATTTTCGGAATTATTAAAAAGGAGTGCCTCCCAATTTCGAAACGTGATGGACCAGGCTATTGAGATAATAATACAAATATAATATATTATTATCTATATAAGGCTTCCAAGTGGTACAATAAATCAGTGTATTTAATATCTTTAGCGCAGTACCCGGATGACATATCAATATTTTTTCGTATTGCTCTGTCATCCGGGAACTTCAACTGTCTATACAATATTGCTTGATCATCTAATTTTTTATTTCGCTAGTCAGCCTGATATAGATAATAATAATAATATTGTATGGCTTTGTTTTCGTGTGATACAAGAATAAGAATATATTGCTCTCACTATGACAACAATATTCTTGTACCACACTCAAAGCCATCCAATATTATATAAATATGAGATCAATTTATATAGCGCAGCTTCTATATAATATACTCTGCTGCGCTGTGATGAAAACAGAACTCAAAACAGTGTTACTTTATACAAACACACAATAAGAATATATATATATTCAAAATATTCAAAGCTCCTGAAAACAAGTGCGTCTTCAACAAAACTTTGAAGACAGCAACAGGTGAGGTTCTTCGTATGTCTAGTGGTAGGTTATTTCAAAGCATTGGAGCGGCGCAACTGAAAGCACAATCTCCAAAAGTTACTTTTGATTTTGTGTTAGGTAGCTTAACAAGCAGCTTGTCCTGTGTACTTCGCAACTTACGTGCAAAATGCTGTGATCTAAGACTTAATAATTCAGGCAAATAATTTGGGGCTTGACCATTCAATGCTTTGTAAACAAGCAATAGTATTTTGAATGCAATTCTCTACCGTATTGGCAACCAATGTAACTTAATTAAAACAGGTGTAATACGGCAAAATGTTGAGGAATTTGACACAAGTCTTGCACGTGCATTCTGAACATGCTGTAACTTAATTATTTGTGAATCCGGCAAGCCAAACAATAATCCTATTACAACAATCAAGCCTACTGCTAATAAATGCAAGTATCTACGAATGTGACGGAGATTGTGTAACATATAAAAGGCAGATTTGCATGTGTTAGATGTGTGCTTCTCCATTTTAAAACTAGAATCAAGCCATAGACCCAGATTTCTCACATAGCTTTCCGGTTTCACTTCTGATTCTCTAACTGTTATATGACTAATATTTAGCTTTGCAACTTGTCTGGATGTTCCAACAAGGAAATACTATGTTTTTCCTTCATTAAGCATTCATTAAGAATTAGCTTAAATAATTCTAAAATTGTGATATCATCTTGATGTTCTTTATCAGGAATGAAAGAAACTTATCTGTGTGTCGTCGGCATAACAATGACAAGAACATTTGGGACACGCCTTTGAATAATATAGATCAGGGCCCCGTCTTACAAAGAATTGATATCAATCGTAAGTTATTTGCGATTGATATCAATCGTAACTATGTACATAAGAGATAGGAGACTGCAAACTTGCGATTGATTGGAGGACTTACGATTGATTTGGATCGATCGTAACTCTTTGTAAGACGGGGCACTTGTATAAAGTGTAAAAAGGAGGGGGCCGAGACGTCATTGCTGTTCTTTAGCACATGCAAGAAAATGCTCATAAATCGGTAACTTCCGGTCCAATTTTCAGTAAATTATGTCCGAGTCGCGAGCCCATCCAATCGACATTAATACCAACACATCTACCAAGTATCATCTTCATGACATTAACTCACCGATAGCATGAATGAAGAGATATGGTTCGGTAGGTACGACCAACAACATTATCACCATAAGCAAGGCCCCCACACATGGCTGCCATTAGGATAAAGATTTTTGGTATGGGTATACGTAGACGATCGGCTACTAAGCCAATGACGATCTTGCCGAGGGCCTCGGAGAAGCCCACCACCGCCATCACAAGACTAGCCGTCTTCTTCGAGAACCCGGCAGTCACAATCACATTGGCCTGGAGTCGGTAAGAAGAAAAGACAGTCAGATAGTTATGTAGAGAGAGTGAGAGGGGTGGGAAGGAGAGAGGGGGTGGAAAGGAGAGAGGGGGTAGTGGAGGGAGAGAGGGAGAGGATGGGGACGGGAAATGGTGGCAGAGAGAGACGGAGAAGAAAAGGGAGTGCGGAGACATAATGGAAGAGGCGAGAGGGAATGAAAGAGAACGAGAGACAGCGAGAAAGAGAGAGGGGGAGATAAATAATGAAAAAGAGAGAGAGGGGGAGAGGACGAGACATTTTAGCTGGATATAAAGCTGATAATTAAAAGATAACAAATGCAATCTAAATGTAACAGTGCTAACAATATAAAGAAAACGTTTCTGAAAACGTCTCAAAGGCGTCTCTAGAACTCCCACTTTGTTCGGTCGAAATAATAATAATTCAAATATTTTGAAACTTTTTCACGAGGTAACGACCGTTTGTTACACTACTTTTCTTTTCAAACCTTCCTTGATTTAAATTATTTATGTATTTATTAAATAAATAAAGAAATACATTTTCTATAATTCGATCACCTCCCTCTTTCCTTTTTCAGCTTGTCATTATTTCACTTCATCTTGGGACAACAGACTACAAATAAAAATCGGTGTTTTGATTTGGTTCACACTCTTGTCAATTATTTTCCATCATTCTTCCCTTATTTTAAACTGGCATTTCGTACTTAAGGTTTTGGTCACCTGAGGCGATTAAAAAGAAATATTACCTAGTGGTATAGCAGGTTGCCGAACAAATGGCAACAGGTCCCCGTAACACAAAGGTTTGCGTTCAATTGCAAAATGACAATGACCAATCAAGATAATCGTTGCATGCACATATTGTACACAAAGTTGAAAATTAAACAATCAGAATCGTCGTTTTTAAATTGTGTTTGGAGGCCCTGGACTCTTCAGCCTCGCCTGTCCCACTCCATGGCAACGTGACAAGTAACAAACAACTTACCAACTATAGTCGACGCCTAACTTCGGAAAGCTACTGGCAACGGAGGACAATATCGTTTGCGACTTGCGATTTGAGATGTTAGGTCTTTCTAACTTGACATATACATAAATTGTCCAGGGGCGGATCACGGGGGGGGGGGGGAGCGACCGCACGCCCCCATCCGTTTACCCTTAAAAGAATATATACACATGTTAAAATTACTCGTTCAAAAATACCTCAGAATTTACCATAGGGCATCTTAATGTTAACAAATTAAGTGGGCACCGGACCCCACGCCGTAAAGGCTTCACGATTTGCGCTCGCAATTTCGTACATTTCATATATATATATATGTGTGTGTGTGTGTGAGTGTGTGTGTGTGCGTGTGTGTGTGTGTGTGTGTGTGCGTGTGTGTGTGTGGTGAGGCATATTATGCAAATTATAGAACTTGGTAAATGATAGCATGATGGGTTCGGTTTGCACGAACAGTTTATTAGGTTGCCGAACTGGTGTCGTTTGGGGGAATTTGGTTTATTGGGATCGTGTTTTTATTTTTAATTAGAAGGTGCGTATTGTGATTAGGTACGCGGGCCGGTCAATTCACTGTAATGCATTTTAGGAAAATCATTTAACTTAGTTATGACGAGCGGGTTCCGTAATACAATTCAAGGCATTTGTTAAGGGATAAAAGCTCTTTGTAATATTATATATATATATATATATATTTTTTTTTTTTTTTTTTTTTTTTTTTTTTTTAAATTAGATTACGGTTATATAACAATACAACGTATTTCTCATCGACTTGTGCAAGAAGAAATGTTTAGAATTGAGATGAGGAGTTCTGTCATTGGTCTAGTTAAATTGACAGGGAAAGGGGGAGGCTCTTGCTCTCGGATGTTTACGTACACCGAAGAGCAGATTTGGGTTGTTTTGTGTGGGGGTGTTGTGTGTGTAGTGAATATGCTTGTGTGTATGAATGCGTTGGGTTGTGTGGTACGGGGTGGATTCTGCTTGCATTTTTTTTTATATAAGTCGACGATAAGTATGCATGTATGTTTGGCTGCAGATAGTTTTTTCTATACATTTGCTCACGGTGGAAATAGATTATGTGGAAGTTTCTTTGGAGTTTATCGATGTAAGGTTTTGGATACAATTACACATAAAATAACATGGCAGTGAAAATTATCTTTCATGACATTAAATGTTAGAGGAATAAGAGATAGGTTAAAAAGAGTGAATATTTTTGAATGGTGCAAAACTAAAAAGAATAGTATAATTTTCTTACAAGAAACATATAGTACAGTAGAGATAGAAGAGCGGTGGAAACAAGATTGGGGAGGGCCAATGTTTTTTAGTCATGGGTCAAACCATAGTAGAGGGGTTCTTATTTTATTTTCTAATCATTTAGATTTTGAAGAAAAATAAAATTAAAGTAGATGAAGAGGGGAGATACATTATTTTTAAAGGTGAAATACAAAGGGTTAAAATGCTATTGGTTAATGTTTATTTTCCAACGAGAGATAAAGAAACTTTACAAATTGAATTTTTGAAGAAATTAGATGAAAGTATTTTGGATCAGTGTGATCGGGACTATTTAGTTTTATTAGGAGGTGATTTCAATAGTATATTGGATGGAAAATTAGATTATGTGGGGTCAAAAACACCGGTGAAATCTCGGGTTATTGATTTGATTAGGGAATTTTTAAATAAATACGATTTAGAAGATATATGGAGGAAAAAAAATCCGAATGTAAAGCAATTTACTTTTCGACAAAATTGGCCGGTGGCGCAAAGCCGTTTAGATTATTGGTTTATACCTTGTAGTGTTGAAAAATTGGTGGGTACGTGTGAGATTTTGACATCTATTACGCAAGATCATTCTGGCGTTAGGCTAGAATTTAATGATCTGGTTGATAAGTTTGTTTTGGGGAAATCATATTGGAAATTTAACAGTAGTTTATGTATGGATAAAGATTTTGTTGAAGAGATGAATAAGGAAATACAGGAATTAAAAGCTGAATGGTCATTACAGATTTTGAATAAATTAGTATTTTGGGATTTTTTAAAGATGAAAATGAGAGAATTTATTATAACATACTCGCGGAAAAAGGCAAAAGCAAGGAGGGTTGAAATAGAACTGTTATAGAAACAAATCAAGGATTTAGAAGGCGAACTGGTAGTGTGACCCACTAAATATATTGTTGATTGTATTGAGGAGAAAATGGATAAACTAAATAAATTGTATGATTTTTCTCGACAGGGCATTAAAATAAGATCAAGAGCACCTTGGTTTGAAGATGGAGAAAACAATACGCAATATTTTGAACAGTTGTTAAAATCGAATAAAAGGAAAAGTGTAATTAGGGAGGTGTACAAAGAAAATGGGGAAACTACTAGAGATAAGGAGGAAAATTTTAAAGGAAATTAAACTATTTTATAAAGATTTATATTCTTTAAGGGCTGATATAAATCAAAACGACCCTTTCTTTTTTAATGATATTTCAAAGTTAAATGAAGACAATAGGGAAATCTGTGAAGGTAAATTAACTAAAGATGAATGCTTGAAAGTTTTAAAAGAAATGAAATTGAATAAAACCCCGGGAAATGATGGGTTAACAGTTGAATTTTATTATACTTTTTGGCCAGCTTTGGGTGATTTGTTAGTAGAAGTATTGAATGAAACATGCGAAAGGGGGGAATTAACGGCATCTCAAAAACAAGGGGTAATTACCTTAATTGAGAAGGAAGCGAAAGATACTCTCCATATAAAAAATTATCGACCCATCACGCTTTTGAATGTAGATTATAAAATTGTATCTAAAGTTCTAGCAAAAAGAATGAAAGAGGTTTTAAATGAAATAATTCATCATGATCAAGTTGGATATATAAAAGATAGAAATATTGGGGAAGCTGTACGATTGATAGATGACATGTTATTTTATTCTATGCATTATGGGGAACAAGGGAAAGGGTTTTTGTGTGCAGTGGATTTTGAGAAAGCTTCCGACTCTGTATCTCACATATATTTATTTCAAATATTGAAATTGTTCGGTTTTGGAGATTCATTTTGCTCTTGGGTAAAATTATTGTATAAAGGGATAAGTAGTTGTGTTATGAACGGTGGTCACTCTACGGGGTATTTTGAAATAGAAAGGGGAGTAAGGCAAGGGGATCCATTATCGCCATATTTGTTTTTGGTTGCCATCGAAATTTTGGCGCATGCAGTAAGGAGGGACAACGGTATTAAAGGGATTACATTTGGAAAATCTGAAATTAGGCAAGTGTTATATGCAGATGATATGACAATATTTTTGAAGGATATTGATTCGGTTAGAAGGTTGCAATATATTTTTGAATCATTTGAACAAATTAGTGGTCTTAAAGTGAATAAAACAAAGACACATTTTATGTGGATGGGTGAGGATGAGAACAAACCTGATGGGCCTTTTTTTGGAAATTTGGTTAATGAAATACATATTTTAGGGCTTAGTTATTCATTAGATCGAAGATTAAAAGATGATTTGAATTATAAAGAAATTCTAAGTAAAATAAAAAAATTGCTTGTATGGTGGAAACAAAGAGATTTAACTATTATGGGTAAAATACATTTGCTAAAAACTTGTGCGCTTTCAAAATTAAATTATATTTCATCTCTCGTTATTGTCCCTCATTGGGTATATAAAGAAGTTGCAAAAATTTCTTTTGAATTCATATGGAGGGGGAAAGATAGAATTAAACGGGCAATAATGTATCAGGATTATGACTTTGGAGGATTAAGAATGATTAATTTTGAAATGTCCGTTAAAATACAGCGCATAATGTGGATAAAACGTCTTTTATATGGAAAGAAAAGTTTGGGATGAAAATTGTTTTTTGATCATTGCTTACAGTTTGTGGGTGGTAGATTTATTTTTTTATGTGATTATGATTTAAAAAAGATTAAACTCGTTTTCGATATTCCACCATACTATATGGAAATGTTGCAAGCATGGCAAGAGACAAGTAATTTAAGATATTTGGAGGGTTATATTAATCCAATTATCTTTAATAATCAGAATATATGTATAAATGGAAAAAGTATATTTGATAGATACTTGTTTGAAAGAGGGATTGTTCAACATATGGATACGTTTGCTTGTATTTGTCTCATAAAAGAATCTGACCACGAACTGACTCCCACACTGTGTTGAGTGCTCAGGGGTCACAGGCCACTGGCTTCATCGGGCAGGTAGTTCCATTATGTGAATGGGTAAATTAACTATTACAAAATGAGGGAACACATTACGTTGTACAATATGGACACACATTGTCTTTATTGTGCAGAACATACTCTAACTCTAACAATTTATTGGAGTACAAAGAATAATAACAGGTCAATTAAATGCATAAACACCACAACACACCTGGGGAGGAAGCATTCATAAATTTGAATACATATAGTTGATAAACGACTCCGATGAAACTAGAAAACCAAAATGAAATTTGCGTTCTGGCAATTGGACTACAAAGAATGATAGCAGGTGAATGAAATGCTTCAACAGCAACACAAACACCTGGGAAGCTAGGAAGCATTCATAAATTTGAATAATTTAGTTGATAAACCACTCCACATGTGGACGTTTGTTGGAGCAGAAAGCAGTGGATTCTTAACAACACGAACCCATTTAACAGAATGTCGGAACGTAAATTAAATTTGGCGCGGTTGGCAAATGCATCTTTCTACCCTGCGAATTTAATGGTACGATCCAGTAAATTAAAACAGTCAAATGGGTCTTATTTTAAAATTACTCATTAAATAAAACCCAAAACTTCAGTGATATCAGAAAAAAAAAAGTTTTATCGTATTAATAATTAAAAAAAGATGTATAAACATTGTGAAAGTGTCGCATTTTACGATAAAAGACACCGATTTAGCAAAGATGACGTCATTAGTGCGCTTGCATCAGGGAATTCAAGGTCAAAAGGTCAATTCAGACCCTGATAAGTTATTGGTCGAGCCTTTTTGTTTCCTTTATTCCGACAAAATTATACAATCAATCAAAACAAGTTTGATACCAGAAGAAAGCTAACGATTAGTATTTTCATTAACCGCTTGCCCCAAAGTCTCTTGACCACAGTGAAACGAGTGAGAGCTTGCGAGAGCGGTTAAAGTGTGATTGAAACTCGCTATTTGCTATTCTCCAACGCAAAAAGAGACGACATTGTGCTGAATAAATGTATTTTTTCCGACAAAAGTACAGAAAATTTGCATATGGTCTTTTTATATTATACTTTATGAAATGTTACCCGAGTGATTTACGGGCGCCCCAATGCTGGAAAGAAACGCACATTTTAGAAAACTTCACTTTTCATGGAAAAATGCTTATTTGTTCTATGCACGCAAGTCAGATTGAGCGGATGATACAACGTTTCCATATGTGAATCATTTGGTTGAGAAAGGTCATGTTAAGTCTGTTAAATATTTTATGAACCTCGGTATGAAAGGTAATAATTTGCTTATGATTATTGATATTTATGATGCGATACCCAGGTTATGGAAGGATGATTCAGGGTTAATAGAATTCCTCGAGGTTGATTTGATAAGCTTTAATACTTATTTCCATATTTCTAGTAAAAAAAAATACAGTTTGTGGATGTGGGTTCAAGAACAATCTATGATTATTTTATCAAAGCACTGCAACAAACGTATGATGTGCAGGTAAGGGATGGGCAAAATGATTATGATTTTATAGATAAAGAATTAAAAGAAATATTTGTTAGACCAAGAATTACTATACTCATTAGAAAACAACGTGAATTTCAATTTAAATTATTGCATGGAGCCATATACACTAATGAGCATCTTCATAGATTTGGTTTTGTTGGTGATAATTTATGTTCGTTTTGTATGCAGGAAATAGAAACATACAAACATTTATTTTTATCTTGTGGGAGCGTTCAAAGGATATGGCAGGCTTTAATACAACTTTTTGAGTTAGATGAAATTAAAGATTTAGAATGGCGAGATATATTTGTTGGGTTGGTAGGTAGTTCATATAGAATAAAAATGTGTAATACTATCATTTTCATGGTGAAGTATGTTACATTTATGTCAAGATCGGGGGGGGGGGGGGGCGAGTACTAACTTTAGAAAAGATGGAAAAAAACATTTTTAAGTATAGGGATGAGGAAAAGAAAATAGCAATTAAAATGGGAAAGCTAGGATCACATTTCTTAAAGTGGGAGCAGCTTAAGATTAATTAAGATTTGCTTTCTTCTCCACCTGTTAAAAGCGTAACTCGATTTTGCGGCCTGGATAACTTATTTAGTATTTTTCTTGAGTTGAGAATGTTGGCAGACATCCACTGAGTGAGTACTGTGTGTGTGTGTGGGGGGGGGGTGGGTGGGTGGGTGGGTGGGTGAGTATGTGTTTGGGTGGGTGAGTATGTTTGTGTGATAGAGGGTGAGTATGTTTATGTGATGGAGGGGGAAGGGAGGGGGCAGGATTGTTTCAGTAAAATTACCTCCAGATTTGTTTAAGTTTTTTTTGTAATATATAAGTAAATAACATTTACAATTAACATATTATGTTTAGGTACTTATACGTTTACTTTGTTGCTAAGTTATATTATACTGCAAATAAGTTTGTGTTTAATTATGTTTATGTAAAAGCATCAATATTGAACACGTTTATTTTATTCAATTGTATGTCATGGTTTGTATTACACATCTGGAGAAATAAAACAAAATTGTTAAAAAAAAAGAAAAAAAGTGTGTGTGTGTGTGTGTGTGTTTGTGTGTGTTTGTGTTAGTGTACGTGTGGGCATGTCACGCAGGCGCGGATCCACGGGGGGCCCGACGGGCCCGGGCCCCCTGGCTTTGAAATATATATATATATATATTTAGTGAGAGATCACACAATCACACAAAAAGTTAACATATTACCGTGCTAAACATAAAAAATGATAAAGCTACAGAAGTTGTCATCATGCCCATCTCTAGAAACCACATGTCAGGCATCCGAAGTAAGCGGATCAATCTACTGCAGTACGTGTTCCTCTGGACCTCTGGAGCATCATTTGAGGTTGAAGACTTGGTGTCTGTTGGCCTTGAGTCACTTTCATTTGCACCATCATCCAAAGAAGACTCGAATTGTGGCACGATTACGTTTACATGGGGCACTTTGTAAGACTCATCACTACACTTGTGCTTTGAGGAAACTGCCCAAATGCTATTACTTTCGTGGTAAGGGATAATATCAGAATTTGTTCCATCTGCCACGAGTAAGTTTGATTGTTCTTCATCTCTGATCCTGTTTCTGAAGCTATATCGATGCAGGGTTGTGTCATGTCCTCCGATAGACTTCCAATCCGACTTTGACACGGTCCTGTCATCCTCTGCCTTTTTTCTTGATCCCGTTGAACGGCAAACAGAGGTTGTTTCTTCCTCACAACATGTTCTTTCAAAAGTTTGTTTGTCGCTCTTGTTCCCGTCTTTAACTTCGACGAACATCTTGCTGTTTTTGCAAAGAACTACAGATTTCTCCTCTAACTTCTCGGCCTCGACGTCCTCCGCATTTTGCAGGGGCGCAGGCGCGAATGTAAGAATGGCCGGGACGCAAACTATGACTAAGACAGCAGATATGATTCTGAACATGGTGCGCCATCCAAATCGGGCAGAAAGAGTGTAGACGAATGGATTCATGGCGAGAACTCCTGAAAGAGAATAGACAAAAAGCGGGAAGTTAATGCTTATTTCTTACTCTCTTTAAACAAAATTTCTCACAATTACATGTGGGTCTGGTGTGATTCAAAACCCAGTAGCGGTTTTAGAAGAATATAAATGTATATACATATATATATATATATATATATATATATTTCCTTTACTTCAGTCCAGGGACTCTCTGAGAAACAGGATTTATAATCGAATTTCTATGATTAAATAAATAAAGTGAAATGAAATAAATTAAAAAAGAGAAATGAAAATGGTCAACCTGGAAAGGGGAACCGGAGAAGGGGAAAAGCACGAGAAAGAAAGACGCCTCATGCATATTAATGTCTTTCGGACTGATATATATTTTTAATGAATACCTATATTCGAACCAGCCGAAGATATAGCGATTGCTAGTGAGTTATGCTTTCCAGTAAAGTAGCTCTGTGTGATGTTGATACCGCCAGTCATCATCAAGCTCGCTCCGATGCCGTAGAGGAAACCATGAGAGAAGTACATGAGGGAGAGGTCGGGAGCAAATGACGTCACAATGCAACTGATGACGCAGGAGATTAGTCCCAACATGGAAATGAACTGGTAGCCGACCCTGACAGCCAAAGGAACGGTGACGAGGCATGACAACGAGCTCAGCCCGTACGCCATTGCTCCGATATATCCTGCAAATAAAATACAAAATATGAATACATAATTAATAGGCCTACATTGATAAAAATTAGTCAAAGACGCATGTAATATGCGTTGTAGTCAAATATATAATTAAAGGGAAAGTTGAGTTCTGTTTTCAGACCGCAAATGCCTTCAATGTGCATAGTTATTGCTCTTATTCTTATCTATGACATTTATAGTACCCTTTTAGAACCTAAAATGGCTATGAGGGTAAGTTTAGACCCCAAAATGTGTGACATTTAGCCAATACGATCATACCAATTCAGTTCCACTTTATAAAAAAACTTGGTGACCGTTCATTAATTATTTAGTTAAAAATAACAATGCAAAATAACCCTATGGTGGCAGAGAGAGACGGAGAAGAAAAGGGAGTGCGGAGAGATAATGGAAGAGGCGAGAGGGAATGAAAGAGAACGAGAGACAGCGAGAAAGAGAGAGGGGGAGATAAATAATGAAAAAGAGAGAGAGGGGGAGAGGACGAGACATTTTAGCTGGAGATAAATCTGATAATTAAAAGATAACAAATGCAATCTAAATGTAACAGTGCTAACAATATAAAGAAAACGTTTCTGAAAACGTCTCAAAGGCGTCTATAGAACTCCCATTTTGTTCGGTCGAAATAATAATAATTCAAATATTTTGAAACTTTTTCACGAGGTAACGACCGTTTGTTACACTACTTATCTTTTCAAACCTTCCTTGATTTAAATTATTTATTTATTTATTAAATAAATGAAGAAATATATTTTCTATAATTCAATCACCTCCCTCTTTCCTTTTTCAGCTTGTCATTATTTCACTTCATCTTGGGACAACAGACTACAAATAAAAATCGGTGTTTTGATTTGGTTCACACTCTTGTCAATTATTTTCTATCATTCTTCCCTTATTTTAACGTATACGTGTACACATGTATATTGTAAACCTTGTTCATCACATTGTAAATTCACATATTAGTTTGAATTATATACCTCACTTAAGAAATCCAGCCACCTGATTGGTCGAAATTGCATTCATAAACTTTAACTATTTCTGTAAAATTCCCAATAACCATGGTTACCGGGAAAATAGGTCAGTCTCCATGGTTACCCCATAGGTTTACATGTTAAAAAATGGTTTGAGCGATCGAGGATACCGTACGTGTGCGAAGAATTGGTCGGTATTTTCATACAAGACAAGACAATTCCAAACAAGACAAAAATGCAGTCATTAATACTATACTATCATATTTTTAATAAAGATCACATTGTTTTAGCTGATGCTACATCCAACAGTATAATTGACTTCACTCACGTTTTGTCCATTTTTAGAATAACTCCTGGAACCCCGTAACAATACTACACTACTGCCATTGTAGATTATGCTGATAATACAGATGATAGTAATGATATGATAACAATTATAATAACACTATAGTGAGTCCAAAAAAAAAATTACACCTAGAAAATTGCTAATTATTTAAAAAAAAATCATCGATGAACATTAAATTGTTATATGTCTTGAAAGAGTGTCTTATCCCAAATCATTTGGTACCATTTTTGTGTGGTGTGTGTTCACGCTTGGATGAACAGGAGACATTGTTTGCGAGAGCGCAAACATCGATCGACTTGCGCCAAAGTTGCCTATGTGATGTTTGAATAAAACAATTAGGATTTGGGTATTAATTCGGTCTTTGCAGATCCAAATAACATCCCTAACGAAATTAATCATGCCACACATATCAAATATTGAATATCATATATATCAGCGAACATTTGTGCGCGCGTTTGTGGGTGTGCCGTCGCTGTTTTCACGAAGTGACGGTGGTGAACAAAAATTGCATTCACTTTGCGTTACGATTTTCCTCACTACCGTCACTTCGTGAAAACAAGGACGGTGTGTGTCTTTGCCCTTTGCAAAAAAACATTCATTTGATACATTCAATCCATTCTCTCACTCCGCTAATCCCAACATAATACATACTGTAGGCATCACTTTGGCGCAAGTCGATTTTTGCACTCTCGCAAACAATGCCACCTGTTCATCTAAGCGTGAACGCATACCACACAAAAATGGTACCAAATGATTTGGGATAAAACCCCGGCCCCCCCCCCCCACTCAGTGTTATTTAGGGTACGCATATACGTGTTCCAACCGACCCCCCCCCCCCCTTTCAGCAAAAGTCCGGTGTGTAACATTAAGGGATAGAGCAACGTCGATCTGGCGCTGCTCAGTGGCTGCCGGGCTCACGATCAATTGGGCAAAAAGAATTTCCGTTTCGGTTTAATAAAATTTGGAGTGGACTATTAGGCTATTATTATTATCAGGTGGGCTGTATAACGTACAGACCACCTTATAATTTCGTTAGAATTGCCTTTATTTATTTATTTATCAGGTGGGCTGTATCTATACAGACCACCTTATAATTTTGTTAAAATTGCCTTTATTATTATTTATTTATTTTATTTCTAACCACTTTTTTGTTAACAAGATAACTTGAAAATGGCTAAATCAAATAACTTGAAATTTGGCACACATATGTATAGGCATATGGAGAAAACACGGTAAGGTTTTCAACCTTGACCTTGACTGATGACGTCATCTAGGCGCCATTTTGTGAAATTTTCTGAAAATAAACTCATGATCATATCTTCATAACCAAAAGGTATTTCTCATTCATATTTATTATGATCAAGGTCAATATCAGTCCAGTCAATTTCAGGTCAAAAAACGCGCGCGTGCGCGTACGTCCGCGCGTCAATGCGCGCGCAAAATTTTTAAATGCTTAAAATCGTCTCAAATTTATTTTGCATACGTTTCAGGTCATTTTAAGCATTTTATAAAAAATCGCGCGTACGAGCATGCGCGCGCGTTTTCGCGCGTAACACCATTAAAAAACATAGAATCGCCATTTTTTTTCTTTCATGATATTTCTCATATTTTTTCAAGGAATTTGATTCCATGTTTATCTCTTTATGACCATTATTAACAAGATGAGCGTAAATTCAAGATAAATGTCAGTGCGCGCGAGGTCTTTTAATACATAGCATATATGGGCAAAAACATGCCTATACAAAATCCGTTATAGCTCTTTGGAATGCACCAGGATCCTCAATTTTTTTTCATATTAAGATAGAGTATGAGTCGGAAATATGATTCCATGTCTCATTTGGCCATTAAGTGTATCGTGACATCATCACAATGGCCTTGGAACTCAAAATACGAATTTGCATATTATGACGTCAGCATATTTATGTAAAATTGATTGTATCTCTGTAAATATTGATCAATTTTCTTCAAAATTTCGATATGTTGTAGCTAAGACAATTCTCTACAAGCGCAGTAATAACCATTTTCATTTTGATGACGTCATCATAGTGAAAATTTTGATTAAAGGCCTCATGTCAAAAACTTCATAATTTGCGTGTTATGCCTATAGAAGGTGAATTTAGTTCACGTTATGAATCTACATGATATTGTCTTTTAAGAATTTGTAAGCAGTATGTCGCTTATTTTTGCCCTATTTTGTCTCAAATGTTAGTTGACCAGCCCACCTATACTTGTTCCAAACAAGTATTATATGTCTAGTTTATTTTTATTCTTTATTTTTCTTATTTCGAACCACTTTTTTGTAAGCACGATTACTTGAAAATAGCTCAATCAAATGCCTTCAAATTTGGCACACATATGTATAGGCATATGTACAAAGCGCAATAACGTTTTCAACATTGACCTTTACTAATGACGTCATCTAGGCGCCATTTTGTAAAATTTTACGAAAATCAACACATGATCATATCTTCATACCCAAAGGTTATTTCTCATTCATATTTATCATGATCAAGGTCAATATCCGTCCGGTCAATTGCAGGTCAAATAACGCGCGCGTGCGCGTACGTCTGCGCGTCAATGCGCGCGCAAAATTTTGAAAAGCTCAAAATCGTCTCAAAATCATTTTGCATACGTTTTAGGCGATTCTAAGCATTTAAAAAAAATCGCGCACACGCGCATGCGTGCGCGTGTCCGCGCGTAAAACTATTGCACAACATAGAATCGCCATTTTTTTTCTTTCATAATATTCCACATATTTTTACAAAAAAATTGATAGCATGTTTATCTCTTTATGACTATTAATGACGGAATGATCGACCGTTAAACATAAATTTCCGTGCGCGCGAGCTCTTGGGCAAAAACATGCCTATACAAAATCCATTGTAGCTCTTTAGGATGCACGGTGACCCCAATATTTTTTCATATTTTAATAGAGTATGATTCGGAGATATTGTTTCATGTCTCTTTTGACCCTCAATTAACTCATGACGTCATCATAATGGCCTCCGAACTCAAAATTCCAATTTGCATATTATGACGTCAGCATATTTATGGAAAATTGATTGTATCTCTGTGAATATTGATCGATTTTCTTTCAAATTTTGATATGTTCTAGCTGCGACAATTTCTACAAATGCAATTACTATTATCATTCATTTCGACAAAGGCATCATGGCGTATTTTTGCAATTAAAGGAGGCATGTCATTTTTTCACATTTTTCGTGTATTCTCTAAGGGACATGACTTTCTCTCAAAACTCGATTCTACATGCCCGTCTTTCACGAGCAATATCTACGTCATTTTAATTTTGTTTATGCTAAACTTTGAGTATGTTGTAGCTGAGACAATAAGATATCTCAAAAAAGCCCTTTATTTTGTCTCGACTTTTTGTTGGATCAGCCCACCTATACTTGTTCCAAACAAGTATTACAAATCTAGTATCTTTTTCTTATTTCTAACCACTTTTTTGTAAGCACGATTACTTGAAAATGGCTCAATCAAATGCCTTCAAATTTGGCACACATATGTATAGGCATATGTACAAAGCACAATAACGTTTTCAACATTGACCTTGACTGATGACGTCATTTAGGAGCCATTTTGTAAAATTTTCGGAAAATCAACTCATGATCATATCTTCATAACCAAAAGGTATTTCTCATTCATATTTATCATGATC